GTAATTGCCACTGCGAATTCGATTTAAGTTGAGCTTTGCATAGATTAAGCTGGTCTTATTGGTAATTATTTATTTTCATCAAATTAAGATTTTCGCAAAGTTTTTAAGGAAAAGAGTTGCTTCCAACAAGTAAACTGCAAATTTACCCTTGTGCACAGAAGAAATTCAAGTACATTCATGAGACTTAAACCACGTTAAGAAAATAAATAAATAAATAAACCCGTACAAGCTCAACTTGATTTATTTAGTCACACTTGTGTATAGTAAAACAAATTAGTGAGAACTGAAAAGTTGTCCTAAACCTAAAACGTTGTTATAGACATAAACATAGTATTAGCATTGAAAATGTGAATCAATCCTATTCCTTATCAAAATTGCGGACTGAGTACCAAGTCTGGATGCCGCTTATATATTTGGATTCCTTATTTATTTTACTGTATTTTGAGTACATAAATTTTATATTTGAACTCCAAAATATTTTTAAGATCTGAAAAAAATTTGAAATTAAAATCAGAAAATCAGAAACCCTAGATTCCCAAATTGAAATTAACAAAAGAAAATGAGAGAGAGGGAGGGAGGAGAGAGAAAGAGACGGGAGAGGGAGGAGAGAGAAAGTGTGGAGAGAGAAGGGAGAGAGAAAAAAAAAACTATAAAACCTCATTTTTTTAGTTTGTAATAATGGGGTGGTTTTGAATTTTTCTTGGGTTTGAGTTTTTAAAAATGGGCCTACCAAATAGTTTTTTGTGGTTTTGGACTTAAAATCTGATTTTGAGTTTATAAAAATTAGAGGCATGACCTTAATTCTACTGATACAAATTTGGAGCGTAATATAAAAAATAAACAAAGCAAAATGCCAATATGAGCCAGAGGAAAACTTCATGAGCTAATACAAGTACCCGTAAGAAACAAAAAGTGTCAATTTTTCGTTTATTCCACACTATAACATGTCAATAAATCCAATGCTATCCTCTTGCATTTCACAAGTATTGTCTTTGTCTGACATACAATCGATCATCTTAAACTTTCTGGATTTCTTGGACTAACTGGTAATTGTCACTGCGAATTCGATTCAAGTCGAGCTAAGCTAGATTTAAGTTGGTCTAATTAGTAACTATTTCTTTTCATGAAATTAATATTTTCCCAAAATGTGCAGCAACCCATAAAATGAAACCATACAGAATTACATTGTTTATTAAAGAAGAGCCTACAAATACCCTTGTCCATTAAAGAAATTCATACATGAAAAAAAAAACTTAAACTGCGTTAACCCGAGGAAAAAACATACAGTACATGTTGAACTTGATTAATTTATTTAGTCACACTTGCATACAGTAAAATATATAAGTGAGAACTGAAAAGTTGGGATTTGTGGACCCTGGCATTTATTGGATACTTCAACAAACCAGAAAACAGAAATGAGTGTAAGCCATATGCATTTTCAGTACCTAAAGCTCATCTTTTATAGTGGGGAGAGGGTTGGAGTTGTGGTGCTCTGCTTATAATTTATGCATTTTCCGATTTATGTCCGAAACTAAGGTCATTTTTAGGCTTCGATTCAATTGTTTTACTAGCACAAATCCAAAACCTACAAATGACCTTGTTTAAGCCATAAACACAGTATTAGCATTGAAAATGTAAATAGAGAATCCTATTTCTGATAAAAACTGAGGACTGCGTACCAAGTTTGGATGCCGCTTAAGATGAGTGCTATTAGAGCTCCAATGAAAGCAAGCATGGCCCAGGGGCTACTGAAATGATCTTCGAAGAATTGAGCGAACCATGCCTTCCACTTGGTTTTGTAGTGTTGCTCTAATTTGGCATTAATAGACTTGTACATAGGATGGGCAAGCACCAAATCTGGGCCTATCTCGTGAAAGAGGTCAGCGAGGGCTTCGTCGCTCCCACGCAAGTTGCAAAGTATGCGGGCTGACCTTAGCTGCTTAGCATCTTTGGGATGAGCAATGAGTGAACTGAGGAAGCCGAAGTAAGAGGTGACCGCAAAATCATTTCGGAAATCAGGACACATTTCGTAGGCTATCAAATTCAAGAACAAAGACATTGCGTCTTCGTTTATGGGAGGAAGACTAAGAAAGCCTGAAAACCATTGAGAAGTAAAAGATACGTCCTTCAAGGAGCTAGTTTTGCTACGCCTAAAATGGACCCCGGCTGCCTTAAGCTCCTGCGCATTGCGAAACGATGGTGAACAGTCTTCTTTGCCACCATGATAGCTAAGCTCTCCTGACGGACCTAGCATTTCGTTCCGAAGAAAATCAAGAAGATGAGTGCATTTCAGCTCCCAACGACGTCCTCGTAGCATAATCTTGATTTCCTTCTCTTTTTTGTCAACAAAATGCTTCGTGATTTCCTTCTCTTTTTTGTCAACAAAATGCTTCGCCATTTCCTTCTCTTTTTTGTCAGCGATATGCTTCTTGATTTCCTTCTCTTTTTTGTCAACGAAATCTAACAATGACTCAAACTCTGTGCTTCGCAACGGCCTCACTGGCTTTTCTGCTGCAGCAATCTGCGTTTGAGCAAAATGCTCCATATTTCTGTGCAGCTCATCTTCTTTTCTGCTTGACCACATCAACAACTTGAGGACTTGATAAGGGAGTTGGTTCTCTAGCAAGAACAAGTCCAGCCGTGCAAAGGCCACTTGGGTTGCGTTCATCCCAAACTCTTCCAAGCAATCATATTTGTGTATGAATTGCAAGGTTGAACATCCATCTATGAACAACATCCAGGCGAGTGCCTCATCATCATCGTAGCACTTTTTTGTTTCACTGTCGTAGCAGTCCTTTATTTCAAGGATGTTTTCTTGAATCGTCTCGTACAAATGATTATATGTGCAGCCGCAATCCTTGATAAAGTCTGCTGCCAAAGTGTATTTGAGTTCCTCTGCTTCCTTGCACTTACCATGATGGATCGGACCCATTGCTAGTACCCTTGGCTCAAAGCATTTCACCAAATTACTGTGACTTCGGAGAATTCTAGGAACACTTTGGATCTTTGATTTTGAGCTGCTTGTAGCTGAATTGTCATTGCCATAGGGAGTTGGAAGTCTACTTTCTGCGTCCCTCAGTTTATCAACTCCCTGCTCCACAGAATCAAGCATTTTAATGCTCAGTTTATTAGCTGAAGTGAAATCAGCCATTTTAATGCTCTGCTAATTGGAAGCAAATTTCTTCTTAGTTTGTTTAATAAGCAAGGCAATTATGTCTTTATATAATATGATTCGATCGATCAGCAAAAGCATAGAAGAATAACACACTTTATCTCCAATGAAGCTTGGTATTATATTTGGACCCTTTTTAACTTTAACTTGGTATATATATATATATTGCAAAACTTTCGATTTCACTTTTACTTTAGATTTCATAGAAGAATAAATGTCATACATACATGTGAGAAGTATATTTCTGTGTAGACCCCATGGAAGAGTCATAATCTTAAGGCAGGACAAGCCTTAGCCCCCACTTTTTCTAATATTCTTCATTCTCCAATAAGTATTTAAGTTCAAGATTGGTTACATACTTCTGATCTCGGCCGTTGGATTGCATTTAAGAGACTACCAACACATTTAATGAATGCAATCCAACATCCAAGATTAAAAGTATGTAACAAATACTTAACATAAAACATTTATTGGAGAATCTCCCTACATGTTAATATATGAGGACTCATAATTTAAGGGCACTTTCGATAACCAATTTGTTTTAATTTTTCACTTTTTTTGAAAACTGAAAATTGAAAACACGTTTGAGAACAGTTTTCAAAATAAAGGCGATTTTTAAAAACAACTTTTAAAAGTTTAATTTTTTGCCCTCCTTGCTCATTCACAAATTCTATAGCATCACATATGCATCGCACTCTAGTCCCAAAATTTGATATACGGGACCTTCTGACTTGGACCCGGCCACTCAACTCTTTGCATTCAACTACGGACACAGTTCGAGCCCCGTGACCCTTTGACCATGCTCAACACCTCCATACCGAAAATTCACCAAAAATTCACTATATACTTACATTCACGTCCATTCTGTGACATCAATTTCACAATTTGGTCCGAACAAAACTTTATCTTTTAAGTTCCACATAAATATGTGATATTCGCACAACATCTCCTATCCATAAATCTGCGTCTGGCTTTTAATGCTCTGGTGATTGGAAGCAAATTTCGCTTCCTAATTTGTCTTCCTTTTGCGCTTTGTATCTTCAAAGTTCCTATCTTAAAAGTAAGGTAGTTCTCTCTATATAATATGACTCGACCGATCAGCAAAAATAACTTAAGCGTTAGGAATATTATTGGTACTCAGAGGAAGAACATAACATTTATCACTTTATTGGCAAGGAAGCTTCGTATTATACTTGGAGCCTTTAAGCTTGGTATATATAAAGTTTGCAAAACCTTTGGATTTCACTTTAACTTCATTTCAAGTTTGGAATATAGGATGACTTTTGATTTGAGGTAACAAAGTAAGATCTTCCTATAAGTGACAAGAATAAATATGATACACGTGAGAAATATATTTCAATGTATACCCGATGGCAGAGACCCCCTTAAGGCAGGAGGAGAAGCCTTGGCCCCCAACTTTTCTAATATATATATATAAATTTATGACGCTTTTTAATTTGTCTTCCTTTTGGGCTCTTTATTTTCATAGTTCATGTAGGCAAGATAGTTCTCTCTATATAATATGACTCGACCGATCAGCAAAAATATAGAAGAATAACTTGGGCCGTTAAGGATGTCAATACAACGGGTCCCGCGCTCTATTAGAGAGTTGGTGAGCAAGTTGGTGCTCAAAGTTGGTGCCTCTAGCATTTTCCTTAAGAATATAGGTATTCAGAGGAGGAACGTACGTAACAGTAAATAAGCACTTTGTCGGCAAGGAAGCTTGGTATTATCTTTGGACCCTTTCTAAGCTTGGTATATATATTTTGCAAAACTTTGGATTTCAATTTACCTTCATTTCACGTTTGGCATATACGATGACTTTGTTTCATGTGAGGTAACAAAGTAATATCTTCCTATAACAAGAATAAATGTGATACATATGGAGGATTCATACGTTAAGGGCTAGTTTGAGAGTCAATTTGTTTTATGTTTTAAGTTTTTGTTTTTGTTTTTTATATATATATATTTTTTACCCTTCTTTTTCGATCACCAATTCTATATTATCATATTTCAACCAAAATAAATAAATAAAATTCATATTATCACACATGCATCACACTCTATTCCCAAAATTCAATATTTGGGACCTTCTAACTTGGACCCGGCCGCTCCACTCTTGTATTCAGCCGTGAAGGATGTCTCAGCTCCAGGATTCCCTGACACCTCCAGACCAAAAATGCAATCTAACATCTAGTCTCATTCAATGACATCAAATTCACAATTTGGCCCCAAGAAAATTTTAATTTTCAAGTTCCACATAAATATGTGACTCTCACAACATTTTCTATTCATAGATCCGTGCCTGGCTTTGAACAGTTAGATACAAAATTATCTATTTTTGAATCAGAAATTAAAGTAGTATATGTTTTAGCCCCTTAGAGCATCCACAATCACGCTCCCTATTTCTTAGTCAAACTTAGATAAGTTAGTTCGATTGAATCTAGGTGAAACAATAGCTAAAAAAGGGTACGGAGATTTCTCTAGGGTGAGAACCGGGTGGCCAGAGCCGTGTGGAGAAAATATGGAGAGAGGCGAGCGATGTGGGCGTCGGCAATGGAGTTGCCGCAGGCTAGGAGAGAGAGGGGAGAGAGATCTCGGGTATTTTTGCAGGGTTTTGGAGCTAGGTTTTGAAGTTACCTAGAATGATGAATGAGGCCATCTATTTATAGGAGTCTCGGAGGCTAGGGTTTCGTAGAAAATAAAACTCTTATTAGGAAGGAGTTTATTCTTTCCCCAAATTATAGAGATTGAGTCCATTAGGGATTTGATTGGTATCCAAATCTCCTAATTTGATGATGATTATATCTCATTATTAGGATAATATCTAAATTAATGGCATTACCTTATTAAATAAAGATTATATCATATAATTAAGATATTACCCCTATTAATTAATTGGCCAAATAAATTGGTTCAATTAATTAATTTAAGATATATTCTTCTTTTCCACATGGCGTGCCATAATTGGAGACGAGAATATTTGCTCCCACAAATGCCCCCCCCCCCGAACTTCTGCATGGCTCTTGTGTGACATGTAGGAGATGAAATTATTTTTCGTGCTCTCCAACTGTGTGAGGGTTTTCTTCTATGAGTTGAACTCCTTTTGCAGATTGGGTTTCCAATTGGAGTAGGCTTTGGACTTCTCTTGGAGTTGGGTTCCCAGTATGAATGAGCTTGCGATTTCTTTTTGGCCTAGGTTGTCCAAAACCTTGCAAAAAATACCCAAGATCTCTCTTCCCTCTCTCTCCTAGCCGGCAGCAACTCTATTGCCGCCGCCCACATTGCTCTCCTCTCTCCATATTTTCTCCCGATCACCACACGACTCCAGCCACCCGATTCTCACCCTAGAGAGACTCCGGTCACCACACGACTTCGGCCACTCGGTTCTCACCAAAGAGAAATCTCTGTGCCCCTTTTTAGCTATTGTTTCACTTAGATTCAATCGAACTAACTTAGGCATCGGAGTGCCTTTGGCCAACACCCCCCGAGTGTGGTCTATTTACTCCAATTTTTTTACAGGAATCGAGGAAGAGATAAAGAAGATTACATGCCCAAGGATCTAGAAGTGAATATTCTCCCGTGAGATTATTTGCACAAACACATATCTTCTAATTTGTGTTCTTTATGGTTAAAAGCATTTCATGAGGAGCCTCCGTTGACAGCATTGGGCTTGGAATTGCACCAATGTTTTGTTAACGAACATAAAATCAAGAAATTTTTATTATTATTGCTAGCTAAGCTTATTCTACCTGTAGTCCAATCTTGAAAACAGTATTTCAATCAAACTCTAATTAAACATATTGTAGCAAGCAAGGGACAATATATAAGAATCTATAATATTCTCTGGAAATGATTTCTATCCCCTGCGCTATGAAAAGGAAGGGCCAAAAGCTCATCTGATATAAGAATATCACTGTCACTGGCTCTGCGAAAATTCTCGGCTGCGTTTGGCAGCAGCGAGGACTGCATTCATCAATATTCCACGAAACCCGCCCTTCTCCAGCTCATGAATGCCAGCAATAGTAGTTCCAGCAGGTGATGCTACATCATCCTTTAGCTGACCTGGATGCTTCCCAGTACTAGTAACCATAGATGCTGCTCCTAATACCTGCAAAGGGAAGCAAAGAATTGGCTATCCTCACAATATGGAATTGAAGAAAAAATAAACCAAAGTGACGATACATTATGAACAGCCAGCAAATACAATATGAACTCTTGACGTTGAAAAGAAAGGGATTTTTTAAAATGTGTTTCGGATGTTCAAGCCACCAAAATCAATCCGAAGGCAGTT